GATGTTTTCTTGATGTGCACTTACCCTTTATATAAAACTCTCTCTTATACATGAGTTTCTGTGGATTTGTTTCTCTAAAATACCTAGACCAACACAGATCCTTAGAAGTAAAAGACTCCGGGCCATGTGAGATGTTGAAACAAGGCTGGCCAGTGGGCAGAGGAGGCAGGTGAAAGCGAGGGTGAAGAGATGGGCACCACGGGTTGGTGAAGTGGGTAGGCCTTGAAAGGTTTTCCGCCAAAGAGGCACAAGGAGCATGTTGCGATTTGTGTTTAGATCTGCCGAGTGAAAAATGCATGGAAAGAGGACAAAAGCGCAGGCTGTCAGAGTAGAGAAGAGATAGGGGACCTGGGGTTGGGGTGCAATGGTGGAAACGGAGAAAGTGGGCAGATTGAAGTACGTGCTGGAAGGAGAAGAGGCAAGGCTTGGTGAAGGTTCGGTGTGGGAGATACGGAAGAGATCGGTTAAGTCCTCATCTATAGGGGAGTCAGATGAAGGTGCCCCTTACTGAGAAGGGCAAAGTTGGAAGAGGATCAGCTTTTGGCGGGAGGAAGGGTTATAAAGGTCAACGACAGCTGAATTGAGTTTGAGATCACAACGTTGGCTCCATTACTCTGTCGCAATATCAAGAGCCACGAGTTTACGGCTTCTCCCTTTTCCTCTCGGTGTCCTACCAAAAAGGGATATGACAGCAAATACCGACTGAGCGCCCACCACGCCGTGTGCCATGTCAGCGACTGGCAGCTCAGCTGGGAACAAGATCGCAGGGCAGGACTGGCAGGAACCTGGCCCCTGGAGTCTTGTCTATATTTTACTGGATCTGGACCAGTCCTTCAGCACTGTGAGATCGGAGGGTCAGACTCTACCTGAGTTTGGACAACGTAAGACGGCGCTGAGGGTGGTGATTTTTAGAACTGTGGAGTGGGAAGAACTTTAGTCATCGACCACATAGACTAAGCCAATTACCGGAGAGTTGGTCTGACACACAGCAACTCCATGGGTTTCCGAGAGCTCTGCCCCATAGGGCTTCCAGTGGCCGCAACCTTTCAGAGATGCGTGGCCACGTCTTCCCACCCCACCCCCACAGTGCCTTTGGGTTAGCAGTCGAGTCCAAAATCTGTGTGGCATCCAGGAACCCGGTGCCTGGTAAGCGCTACATAAATGCTAACGTTTTTGGACCAAATATGGAATGTGCTATGCCCTACTGGAGAAGATAGACATGGAAAAATCATTTCCACAGCGATGAGCTGCATCTCTGATTCTTAATTGCAGAGTTGGCTGGATGGTTCCGCAGGAAACCCCCGCTCCGTTCACGATGGTGGACCATCGGTAGTTGGTGTCTCACACTCCTGAGTTCTCCGTTTGGCTCCCAGGTTTCTCTTAGGTGGCAGGCCCAACAGTCCAAAACAGGAAGAAGACGCTCTAACTAGAGCAGGCATTTGTGTCCACTGTGTGAAGAGTCAAAGTGTCCTCCCAGGGCGATGCTCCATCCTCCACGCCAACCACTTTGTGCTCTTCAGTGGCAGAGCATTTCAAGCATCTTAGTGGCATCTTTTAGTACCTGAACCCTCTCAAATTGACAAACAATTATATAACTACCACAGGGAGTTTAATTAAACTTGGTCTTTTTGCTCTCCTTTCTGGAAGGTATCTTTAACTTCATTCAACTCTCTTAGGTTTCTTTCTTTTTTCTTATTTTTATTTCCAAGGATTCTTTTTCGTTCCTTGACACTTTCTCTCTATAGTGCCTCGATTTGTTCCACTGGTTCAAGATCTCCTCTCTCTGGGGCCATTCGTGTCGGGTGACAAATGTTCTTCTCCTCCGCAGTCTCTTTCTCACCAGTCGCTTTCTCCCTGCCCTCTCCAGGCCCCCCCACCGAGTGACAGTGACTTTCAAGTGTAGTGAATCTTGGCCTCCTGCTTATATTTCCAAATTGGGTCCTAAAAGGATGCTGTAAGCTCTGGGTATGTGACTGTGAGACTAAGAATACAGAGCTCCAGTAAATTCCCACTAGTGTCATGTGTTCTTGTCCCTGGGTTGGTGAAAGCCTCAGAAAAGCCTTTTTTTCTTGTCTTGCCTGGAGATGTAAAGTGTTTGCTGCTCTAGCAGAGGAAGAAGGCTTTGGGAATTCAGCGTTAGATGCACACAATGCCAGTAGTGCTTTTATTTTTAGGAAGGTACCCCATCTTTAACTAGGCCAGAGGTTCGGTGTCCCATGCCCCGGACAAGAACTCTGCAGTGGAAGAGAATGTCTGTGCTTCTCGTCTTTTCTTTCTTTTTCCTTTCCTAGCTTTCTAGCATCCCTCCTGGTCTGGACGCCCCTCCTCCTCTCTGTCCAGAGATAGCCAGTGTGTTTCTTGGCTCTTCCCACGGCCGCTTTCTTGAGTCTTCTAAATTATTAGCCCCCTTTTACCTGCCAGTTTCCCAACTTCCTTTGCTATGTTCATCTTCCTGGTCTGCTTATGCTCATGGATCTAGGCCTTAAAAAAAAATGTCATCACTGTCATTTCGGTGGGGTTTTGGAAAGGAACAAGATTCATTCACGTTCTGATCTAATATCTTTAACTGAAAGTTAACACACGCACTTATAAATATTCCCCGACTCCTAGGAAAATACAAGACGCTCTCATGTGGAATCCATACAGCTGCCTACACGATCTCGCAGGTTTGGCCATCTGGCTCCTCCGTTCACAAGACAAGAAGATGTAACACAGTAGACGGAGAAACTCCTGAAGAATAGACCCACCAAGCGTAGGAACGTAAAGACCTGTGAAGGAAGAGGAAAGGAATCATATCTAAAAGCGTGTACAGTCCATTTCTCCACCAGGTGAGAAGAGCATTAGTGTTGAGGGCAAAGAACCACCCTGGTTCCGGTGTTCTGGTGAAACCCAGATAGGAAGCATTCTGGGCAGGGCAGTGCACTATGGGTTGGGCTGCTAACCACAAGGTCAGCAGTTTTGTTTTGTTTTCCCAGAAGATTTCGGTTTTTGAAATACACAACTTTCACAGCACACAGTATTTACATTTCAAGTTCTTTTTTTACAAAATAGGTACGCCATCTTGAAAGAATACTGTTGAGATCATGATCTAAAACACTTGTCAGAAAGCTCAAAAAGAACTCATGGAATCCGGTCTCCATAGATCCACTGTATAATGACATGAACAAAATATGGCTGAAGGGCAGACCATACCCATATGTATAAATACGAATTGGCCTGTTTAGGTATAGCCGTGAGCTAGCCATAGTTTATGTGTGTTTTTTTAAAGGGGTTATTTAAAATAAAAGCATAATATGCAAAAGTGATGCAGGTAGCCTGCAGAGCCTAAATATTCACTATCTAGCCTCTTACAGGGCTTGTCTGCTGACCCCTGCTGTGTGTGACAGGAGCCTTGAGGGTGCAGTGGTTAAGCTTAAGCGCCTGGTTGCAAACCAAGAAGCAGGTGGTTTGACCCTACAAGCCACTCTATGGAGAAAGACGTGGCAGTTTGCTACCACCACGATTCCAGCCTGGAAACCTTCCCCAGGCAGAAGGCCAGCAGTTTTAAACCACCAGCCATCCCTCGGGAGAAAGAGAAGGCTTTCCACTCCCATAAAGAGTTGCAATCTCCGGCATCCACAGGGACAGTTCTGTCCTGTCCTAGCGGCTCACTGCTGCCTCACTGACTCATAGACACCCCTGTGGGTTTCTGAGACTGTAACTGTTTATTGGAGTAGAAAGCCCAGTCTTTCTCGGGAGGAGCTGCCAGTGATTTCGAAATGCTGACCTTGCAGATTGCAGCCCAACACGTAACCACTGCTCCAGGGCTGCTCCACAGGATGGCTGAAATCAGATCAGCTCTATGGCAGTGAGTTTGGTTTGGGTTCTGGTCAAGCATTTGTGACTTCATACTGTTGTGGCATTCATTATGTCCCTGGCGGTAGCTGTAGCTTGAACCAAGAAAGACGGCATATGCAGAGTCCTACAGAAATTATGGTTCCGTGAAGGATGCTGAGGCAATGAGGAAAGCTGGTATCTTTCAGAGCGGAAAGTGAGTTTGCGATATAAAGAATCTCTTCGGATTGAGTTCCTTGCAAGTGGCCCCTGAGCTCTGTTCCTGAACTAGGAAACATGACTGTGTGGATGAAGGAATAGTTCCTCTTGACAAATAAACAACAACAAAGAAAGCATATAAGAGCCAAACAGTCCAAAGTCACTCGAACCAAGGTCAAACAGTACCCCCTACCTTGGTAACATCACTAGGAGGAGTGGGGATGCAATAGGGACACAAAAGAGGACACTAATAATCCTGTCATCCAAAAAAAGTCAAATTATGAACATTCACCCCGACCATACAAAAAAAAAGTTTTTAAAAGATTCATTTATATTCCGCTGATTCTAAGAAGCAAGAGAGGGAAAACACTTTAGAAAATATTTGTGCCAAAAAATGTTACTTATTCTATCTAGTCACTTTCTGGTTTTTAAAACCTTTTTACATAGATTACTTCACACATGCAAACGTACAAACTTAGTTGGAAAAAAAAACCAGCGGGAGGCACATGGGGTATTTTCCTTTATTGCAGATAAACACTAAGGCGCATCAATGCCTCAAAAAACTGTCCAAAATTACACCGCAGTTCAGTAGAAGAGCTCAGTTTTCTGCTTCCTAAAAATATCGTGGTTATTGAAAACACACGCTCCCTCCTGCTGTCTTTAAAATCCCTGTCGCCTCTTCCTGCCTCCTCTTCACTAGCTGTGCCCTGCTTGTGCACAGCACTTGGAAGACCTTCTGTGACCTCGCTAATGGATGGGCAGTATGTTTAACTCTGCCTGGGTTCCAATCCTGCTGCTTGCCAAATGCGTGACCTTGGTGAAGTTAACTAACTTCCGTGCATTCACTTGTCAAGTGGGGGTAGCAATCAACAGTATCTTAAACAACTTCCATAAGGATTAAATGAGCCATTCTCAATACGCTTCAGCCGTTTTTATGTCCATTGCCTTCACTCCTGGGGCCAGAGAACCTTATTTACTGATAAGACAGTGGCATCTCCCGTACTTCAGACTTGCAAGCCGTGGGCACTCTCTCTTCCCTATAGCAAAAGCGCATGGTTCCTAGTTTGGAGAAGTAAGTGATGTTGTCGTCAAAACGCCTCTCTTCTAGGAAGGCAGCAGCGACTGGAGGAATTGTAAGCTGGGAGCGCGAAGGAGAGGGGGGTGGGAAATGGGGAGTCAAAGCAAAGGGGTCCAAGAAGGAAGAAGGGCTCCCAAGTGGATGGTGGTGATGGCACAGGCCTTCTGGACCTGACGGAACGATGGGATGGAATTGTATGACATGTGCCTTGTAGCTCAATCCAACTGGTTTTAAAGAAAGAAAATGCCTCTCCAATATTTGGGGGAGGGCACGTGGATCATCTCTCACTTTGAAAATGTCCATCTCCAACTTTGGGGTCAGAACCTAGTGGCCTTATTTTGACTCCTCTCCCGTTAGGCTTCGTTCTGCGGTCAGTGGGAAGACGCCTTGGTCCTCACTTTCTGCCCGCTCGGTGCTCAGACTGTAAGCCCAGGAAGCCCAGGGGGGGAGCTAACAGCTGTCTTCCGCCACGCGTCACGGGAGGACCTCGTTTCCCACTTTATGGCGCCTGCACTGGAAGAAGTCGGCCTCTGAAAATGCTACCATTTGACATCTTCTGCCGTAAGATGCCATGCCTCTTCTGCTGGACAATGTTGAGTCACACCTGACAGAGTTCCCTTTGGAGGGGCTCCATTATAAAAGCCAGAGGTTGACTGGAGGAAGCGACCACTGCCTTGGTGGCATTCTGTACTTCCTGTCAGCTCCTCCTGGGTCTCACCCTGCTTCAATTCACTGTCTCTGACCCTGTGACCAGGTCGTGTGTCCAGCCATTTCACCACTTTGTTTCTGCCCTAAGAGCTGAGCCTGAGAAGACTCTGCCCAACTTAGTAGCTCCAGCTCTGCGCCCACTGCCGTCAGCTGGTTCCCCACACTCCTGGGCCAAGTCATGGGCGCCATTCCCAGCCAACTTTTAGAATGAAAATGAGCGTCTGCTTCTAACTTTGGTTAGAAAGAAAAACTGTTATCTTTAGCGTGGAGCTGGCATTTCAAAAAATCTTCAGATTATTTATTTTCAAAATTAGTGATTTGCTGTGTGAATCTGGGTAGACTAGAGAAACAAATCCTGAGACATGTACGTGTAAAATAGAGAACTTTATATCAAAGAGTAATTGTTTATTAACAAAACATCCCAGCCCAGTCCAAATCAAGTCCATAAGTCCAATATTAGCCCATATGTCCAATACCAGTCTATAATTTCCTCTTCAGACTCACATGGCACATGCAATGATGCTGAATTTGAGAAAATCACAGGCCAGTGGGTGGAAAGTCTTCTGGATCCAGTGGTGGTGGAAGCATCTCAGCGCTGGTGTGACTCTCCACATGGCTCCTCCTGTCCAGGGCTCTGGTTCCATCAGCGTAGCTCCTTGTGTCTTGTCAGCAGGAAGATGAAGCAGAGAGAGTGTATTTCTGGCCTCCAGTGAGAAATTTATCTCTGTAGTGCCGCCAAATGAGGTCCTCAAGCTGCGACCTGATTGACAGGCTAAGCCCCACCCCTTCTCTCTTAATCGTCTCAAGTTGATACCAGATTACGTAGCTCCCACCTTTGCTTTCCTTCAGGAATTAGGGCTTTCTGCAGGAATCTTCCACTTTGTTCTCCCTTACTACTTCAGTGTTCTTTCTGATGCCGCTGACTTCTTACCATTAAATCACCTTAACGTATGAAGATAACAATAATCATTTATCATTTATCAAGGGGTCACGATGGTGGGACGGTGATGGAAGGAGAAAAAAGGAGGAGCTGATACCAAGGGCTCAAATAGAAAGTAAATGTTTATAAAATAATGATGGCAACATATGTGCTTGATACAATTGATGTGTGGATTGTTCTAAGGGCTGTAAGAGCCCCCAATAAAATTATCTTAAAAAAAACCAAACATTAAATAACTTTGAACTTTGGTGTGTTCTTGATGGAGAAAGTCCCAATTCCTTTCTATTTTCGCCCTTTGAATGTCCCCTTTACATCTTTGAGAAGTTGGTGGCAAGGGTCCCAAAAAGTCTGGAGGTCTAGGGGTTGGGGAACTGGAAGGGCAGTTTGGGAGTCAACTGGGAGACAGAAGACTGACTATGAGAGTGGGCCTGGGAGAGAGTCGCGTGTAAGTCACGTAGAGAGACCATGCGTGTGTCCCAGAAGTTCCGAGTGTAGTCTCCTCGCATTTCTTAATTTGCCTGGCCTGAGTGACGTATCACAACACGTTTCTCTTTGCATCCCATCACTGTTGTTATCAGCTGTCACTGAGCCCTGCCGACGCAGGGCGGCCCTACGAATGGCAACACAAACCCAGCCTGGGCCTGTGCCCTTGCCCTGCTCACCAGTGTGCGTGAGTCCATTGTTCCCTGCTCCTGTCTGTCCTTCTTGTTCCCATGGCCCTCGAGTGTACCAAATGGGATGTCTGTTTTCTAGCAATTGGTCTTTCCTGGCAACCTGTGCACAGTCAGTGCCTGGTATTTGTTGAGGACTTCCTACACAATGAGCATTTTGCACATGTTCTTCATTTATTTTTCACACAGATTCTGTGCATACTTTTACCATCTCCATTTTCAGATCAAGAAATGGCAGAGTATCCACAAGGTGTCCAGGGCCCTGTAGCTGGACATGATAGGGGTGAAGCTAGGTGTGTCCCCAGCACCAGTGTTCTCAGACACTCCTGATTCATTCCTGGTCATCAGGGTTTTCTGTTTGTTTGTTTTTAATAATTTTATTAGGGGCTCATATGACTCATCACAATCCATACATACATCAATTGTGTAAAGCACATTTGTACATTCATTCTCAAAACATTTCCTCTCCACTTAAGCCCCTGCCATCAGCTCCTCATTTTCCCCTTCCCTCCCTGCTCCCCACTCCCTCATGAACCCTTCATAATTCATAAATTATTATTTTGTCATATGTTGCCCTGTCCAACGTCTCCCTTCACCTGTTTTTCTGTTGTCCGTCCCCCAAGGAAGAGGTCACATATAGATCCTTGTAATCAGTTTCTCCTTTCCAACCCACTCTCCCTCTACCCTCCTGGTATCGCCACTCTCACCACTGGTCCTGAAGGGATCATCTGCCCTGGATTCCCTGTGTTTCCAGTTCCTATCTGTACCAGTGCACATCCTCTGGTCCAGCCAGATTTGTAAGGTAGAATTTGGATCATGATAGTGGGTGGGGGGAGAACGCATTTAGGAATTAGAAGAAAGTTGTATGTTTCCTCGTTGCTACATGGCACCGACTGGCTCGTCTCCTCTGGTCATCGGGGTTGTGTCTGATCCTTTGTGCCCTGCGTCCTGAGCCCCACATCCCTGTGCTTTCTCTCTACATCACAGACATCTTACTGTACCTCCCTTTTACCTTCTTTCCAGGGAGTCGCCCTCCCTTCCACAACCACAGTTTAAAGAAGAGCGCACATCCCACATTCCATGAGTAGATTTTGGAGTGCCTATCTATAGAGCACTGTGTTCCAGACCTTACAAAGGCACGACGCACAAACACACAAAGAAACCATTCACACGCATATACCTTCACATACAAACCCATAAACCCACACACATACACACATGCACAAACACGTGCATAAACCATTCCCCCCAAACAGTTAAGAACACACATACACATAACCTACCTGCAAGCACATACAGAAACACAAGAATTAATATACACAAGCATAGAAATAAACACACACACAAGAAACCATAGACGTGTTCATACACACACGTGTTCATACACACACACACCCAACTCACATACACAAAACACAGCATCACCCTTTGTACACACAAACACAGAAACACACACGCACCCACAGTTCCTCCGCAAACACACAAGAACACGCACACAGCCACACACCGTGTGCACTAGGCCCGCCTCTTCCCTATCTCTGTGCAGTCTAAGGCCGGCGTGAAGTGAAACCAGTCGGGACAGGAAGTAAAACAGGAGGGTGAGCTTTTCGGGTGCTTCTGAGCCGGCTGTTGGGGGCACTCAGCAAACAGTCTACGGCTTCTGGAGCGGCTCTGAGGTAACTGGGCCCTGGGACAGCTTCTGAAGCGTGGCTATGGAGGGCTGGGG